CTGACTTCCTGGAGAGCCCCCAAAGCAGGCAGTTGAGGGGCTGAAGTTGGGAGGGAAAGGTCTGGCAGGGGTGGATAGGATGAGGGAAGTAGGGGTGTAGAAGGGGAACAGAGAAAAGGATTTAGGGGACCTGAAGGGAAGGTCTAAGGTGGTAAAAAAAGGAGACAGGAGGACCAGGGATGATGGGAAGAGAGAAATTTTAGATGAGCCAATTCGGGGAGACCCCAGGTTTTCCAAAGAGGTCACTGAAGTTCTAAATAGCCTTCGGTAAAATTTCGCCAGTTTTGGAGATATGGAACTGAATTAGTTCTGTAATACCAAAGCATGCAGTGAGCGGGAAGGACAAAGAGGTGCCCGATCGAGTAAATTATCCATGGGATAATAGATAGTTAAACCAAAGAGAAAAAAAAAAAAAACTTTCTTTAACAGGACCAGGAAATAGTCTTGCTGGTTTTAAGTTCCCACACTCTGGATCTGAGAGCCAAGGGGACACCCCACACAGTCCCCAAGTTCAGAAGCCTAAGGACCCTCCACGTTGATCTCTGGGGTCAGAAAGCCAAGAGAACCCTCCTCAAATCAGCCAGATGGCGGAGCCGATGTCACCTCTTATGCAGTTTCTGGATTCAAAGCACTTCTCCCTTCCCTCAAGCCCCCTCTGCAACTTCTGGGTTCAGAAATCCAGAAGAAGCCCCTCTCATCCTCCAGGGAACCCTTCCTCCACCCGTGTGATTTCTGGAATTAGAGGAAAAACAGAAGAGGCCTCACTGAAGGGGCAAAAAAATATCCTCTTCACCAGAAAGAATAAAAGTAACTCCTTACTACCATGTCACAAGGGACAACTATCCAGTCACTGGATTAGATGAGGAGTATGACTAGCCACTGTGGATTTTGATTTCTCCAGCCAGGAAAGGACACAAAGGAGCCAAGAGGCCACTACAAACACTTGGGTGAGGACAGGGGTCCAAGGGCCGGTCAAATTAAAACAGATCCTGACTCGATAAAGGGAGACTTTACTCAAAAAGACTATTGCAATAGGGAGAACATGTGGACCATAGAGTCTGCAAGCATCTCAGCATTTAAGCAGTGAAGGGTTTTCTTTTCAAGGGAATAGTGAGGATGATGGCATAGTAAATCAGAAAAGGTTTTACCTGAGGCCAGCTTGTCTGCTGCCTCAGGCTGAGGGTGGGCCAAGTTCAAGGGTCTGCAGGGAGGGCAAGGGCTAAACCAAACTTGGTTAATGAGCATCCTGTTCCCATTGGTTAGTGGAATAAGCAGTTCAGCTAATCATCTAGGACAGGGGGCCCCAACCCCCAGGTCGCGGACCAGTACTAGTCCATGGCATGTTAGGAACTGGGCGGCATAGCAGGAAGTAAGAGGCTGGCCAGTGAGCGAAGCTTCACCTGGATTTGCAGCCCCTCCCAGCATCACCAGCATCACCGCCTCAGCTCCACCTCAGATCATCAGGCACTAGATTCCCATAGGAGTACTGGTCCCTGGTGCCAGAAAGGTTGGGGACCGCTGCTTTTTAAGGAAATAAAGATGAGAAATTTGGAGCATCTTTGTCTAGCCTTGTCAGAGGTAAACAAGAGAGGCTTCCCTGAGTCATATGGGGAAGGGGGGTTGTATGAATTTGCACGGGCAGGGCGAGGTACCACACACTAGGTGGCTCAAACAATGGAAATATATTGTCTCATAATTTTGGAGGCCAGAAGTCCAAGACCAAGATATGGTCATCTCCCCTTTTGTCTCTTCATGTCATTTCCTTAATGTCTATCTATCTGAGTGCCCAAATATGCCCTTTGTAAGGACACCATTCATATTGGAGTAGGGCTCAGTGATGACCTAGCTTTACCTTAATTATCTCTGTAAAGACCCTGTCTCCAAATCAGTCACATTCTGAGGCGCTGGGGGTTAGGACTTCAAAATACAGATTTTGATAAGGATGCAGTTCAGCCCATAACAATGCTTCTTTGCAGTAAATCATTATTCAGGACACACGAGGATGGAGGATTCCTTAACCCTCTCTTTTCCAGGGTCACAGTGGACTCAAGGGAAGTTTAACTGGGGAAAGAGCAAGACAGCCAGAGGTGCGGGTGGCTAAAGGACTCACAGGAAGGACTGTGTGTTGAGACAGTGGCTTGGGAGGCAGGCCCTGCTCCAGGCTCCAGAAGGAGGGGTGAGGCCTAGAAGGGGATCGTGGCCTTGAGAGGGGGCCCCCAAATGAAGGGACTTTGGGTAGGAAAACACTCATAGGGCAGAGTACGCTCCCAGGCATAGGCGAAGCTCGGCTGAGGAGGAATGTGGGTTGCAAAGCAGCGAGGGACCTGTACCTGTCCCCCAGGAACGGGGAACTAGCTGGACATCAGATGGGCTTCGAACCTTGCCATTTTGGTTCTACGTGAACGAGTCAGGGGCCTGCCGAACAGGCAAATGAAAAAGGAGGCGACAGGGAGGAAGCTGCACATGCATCTTTCTAAATGACCGCTATGGTGGGGAGGGGCTGTTACAGAGAGGACAAAAGGCTGGGAGCGGTGGCCTCCAGAAGCCTGGCGCTGGCCCAGGGACCTCTTCCTGTGCCAGCCCCAGGAGGAGGCGGGCCGATTCCCAGGGTCCAGGGTGAGGCCTTCCTCGAGTCTTCTCTCCATGGGAGGGGGTGGGGGAAAGTGGCTGCCTCACAGTCGTAGGATTCAAAAGCCACCAATCAATAGCCCCCCACACACGAGCAGCCTCTCACACAAACTCCCTTCTCCTCAGCCAGCACACCCCCAGGCCCCCACGTGCCTCTCAGTGGCTACGCCAAAGCTGGCCACTTGTCAACTGGTCCGGGTGGGCTGGCAACCCACCCCGGCCGACCCTGGAGTGCTGCACCGAGCTCACAGCACAAGTGCCTACCTCACGCTTGGGCCCCTGTGCGTGGCCGGTCTCTGGGACTGCACACGTGACATCCCTGACTGACGGGGCACCCCGAGCCCCCACGCCCCTGCCAGGAATCCCAGGACCTCCAGTCCTGCCTGCTGCCCCTCTCTCTTCCATGTCTAACCCCCTTATTCCTGGGAGCTCCCCAAGTTCCCTGGGGACCCAATCAGCCACTGACGGTCCCCACGATTTCCAGACAGGAGGCCCTCACGGCCCTTATGGACTCTAACCCCTCCATAGCCCAATGTTGACTCAGAGTCCCAGGCCACCGTTGTCCCCAACCCCGCCCCAAGCAGCCACCCTCCATTTCCCACAGCAGAGGCGAGACCCAGCTGAAACATTTAATGAAATTTATTGAAGAAAAACATTTACTGAAACCAATGAAGAAACAAAGCCAACGCAGAGGAACTTCTAACAGCCACTACAGCCAAGAGGTCTCAGCCCCCCTCCTCCTGAGGTCCCCGCGGGGGTGCCTCAGGTGCACCCTGTACCTCGGCCCTCCCCCTCCGCCACAGTCCCCCTCGAGGGGCCCCACGATCGTTCTGTGCAGGACGATGGACGCT